GCGTTCAACGCCTCGTCAGTGCAGCTTGGTACACGTCTAGATACGCGAGACACTCGTATTTATACCCCATGGGCTTGCTCTCACCAAGGCATGTGGTACAACACGGTGACTCGACGCATCCAGACATGCGCAGAACGTAATGGGGCCAGAGTGCTCAAACGACCGCAAGGGATGTGAGCTTTTGCATTATCGCTAATAGCACCCATTAACAACTCCGCAGAGTGCTCAACAGCACCGAAGTGAAGGAGCGTAATAGTACAATCTGCAGACACACACACATATATATATATATATATATATATATATATATATATATATATATATATATATATATATATATATATATATATATATATATATATATATATGCTCTCACCAAGGCATGTGGTACAACACGGTGACTCAACGCATCCATGCAAACATGCGCAGAGCGTAATGGGGCCAGAGTGCTCAAACGACCACAAGGGAAGTGAGCTTTGCAATATAGCGCTAAAAGACACCCATTAATATATATATATATATATATATATATATATATATATATATATATATATATATATATATATATATATATATATATATATATATATATATATATATATATATATATATATATATATAAATATATTTGAAAATGGCGTTCTTGCATTTGAAAAGGGAGTTCTAGCATTTGGAAATGGAGTTTTGGCATTTGAAAATGGAGTTCTAGCATTTGAAAATGGAGTTTTGGCATTTGAAAATGGAGTTCTAGCTTTTGAAAATGGAGTTCTGGCATTTGAAAATGGAGTTCTGGCATTTGAAAATGGAGTTCTGGCATTTGAACAGGGTGTTCTGGCATAATTTTGAACAGGGTGTTCTGGGATTTGAAAAGGGAGTTCTCATTCCAGTTTTATCCTTCTATCAGGCTTGGAATTTCAGGGTCGGTTGTTTTCAGGGTCGGTTGTGTTCAGGGTCGGGGTTTTCAGGATGGGTTGTTTTCAGGCACGGTGTTTTCAGGCTCGGTTGTTTTCAGGCTCGGTTGTTTTCAGGCTCGGTTGTTTTCAGGCTCGGTTGTTTTCAGCCTCAGTGTTTTCCATTTGAAAATGGAGTTTTGGCATTTGAAAATGGAGTTCTAGCATTTGAAAATGGAGTTCTGGCATTTGAAAATGGAGTTCTGGCATTTGAAAATGGAGTTCTGGCATTTGAACAGGGTGTTCTGGCATAATTTTGAACAGGGTGTTCTGGGATTTGAAAAGGGAGTTCTCATTCCAGTTTTATCCTTCTATCAGGCTTGGAATTTCAGGGTCGGTTGTTTTCAGGGTCGGTTGTGTTCAGGGTCGGGGTTTTCAGGATGGGTTGTTTTCAGGCACGGTGTTTTCAGGCTCGGTTGTTTTCAGGCTCGGTTGTTTTCAGGCTCGGTTGTTTTCAGGCTCGGTTGTTTTCAGCCTCAGTGTTTTCCATTTGAAAATGGAGTTTTGGCATTTGAAAATGGAGTTCTAGCATTTGAAAATGGAGTTCTGGCATTTGAAAATGGAGTTCTGGCATTTGAAAATGGAGTTCTGGCATTTGAACAGGGTGTTCTGGCATAATTTTGAACAGGGTGTTCTGGGATTTGAAAAGGGAGTTCTCATTCCAGTTTTATCCTTCTATCAGGCTTGGAATTTCAGGGTCGGTTGTTTTCAGGGTCGGTTGTGTTCAGGGTCGGTGTTTTCAGGCTCAGTTGTTTTCAGGCTCAGTTGTTTTCAGGCTCGGTTGTTTTCAGGCTCAGTCGTTTTCAGGCTCGGTCGTTTTCAGGCTCGGTTGTTTTCAGGCTCGGTTGTTTTCAGGCTCGGTTGTTTTCAGGCTCGGTTGTTTTCAGGCTCAGTCGTTTTCAGGCTCGGTCGTTTTCAGGCTCGGTTGTTTTCAGGCTCGGTTGTTTTCAGCCTCGGTTGTTTTCAGCCTCGGTTGTTTTCAGCCTCGGTTGTTTTCAGCCTCGGTTGTTTTCAGTCTCGGTTGTTTTCAGGCTCGGTTGTTTTCAGCCTCGGTTGTTTTAAGCCTCAGTGTTTTAGGGTCGGGGTTTTCAGGCTCGGTTGTTTTCAGCCTCATTGTTTTCAGGGTCGGGGTTTTCAGGCTCGGCTGTTTTCAGGCTCGGCTGTTTTCAGGCTCGGTTGTTTTCAGGCTCGGTTGTTTTCAGCCTTGGTTGTTTTCAGCCTCAGTGTTTTCAGGGTCGGGGTTTTCAGGCTCGGTGTTTTCAGGCTCGGTTGTTTTCAGGCTTGGTTGTTTTCAGGCTTGGTTGTTTTCAGCCTTAGTGTTTTCAGGGTCGGGGTTTTCAGGCTCGGTGTTTTCAGGCTCGGTTGTTTTCAGGCTTGGTTGTTTTCAGGCTTGGTTGTTTTCAGCCTCAGTGTTTTCAGCCTCAGTGTTTTCAGCCTCAGTGTTTTCAGGGCCGGGGTTTTCAGTCTCGGTTGTTTTCAGCCTCAGTGTTTTCAGGGTCGGGGTTTTCAGGGTGGGTTGTTTTCAGGCACAGTGTTTCAGGCTCGGTTGTTTTCAGGTTCGGTTGTTTTCAGGCTCGGTTGTTTTCAGCCTCAGTGTTTTCAGGGTCTGGGTTTTCAGGATGGGTTGTTTTCAGGATCAGGGTTTTCAGGCTCGGTGTGTTCAGGGTCGTTGTTTTCAGGGTCGTTGTTTTCAGGCTCGGGGTTTTCAGGATCGGTTGTTTTCATTTATGATATTGTCCCTCAAGCGATATTGCTCACCCCTCATATGATAACCTAACCTATACTATCAATCATTAACAATAACTAGAATGGGCTCATCCTTGATTATCAGATTTGTGGTACAATATTTTCAGCCTTCCAGCAGTGGTCGTGCTGCAGAATTATTATCCCGCGATGGTGTGACAATGTTTGTTGGATTCAGTGATACAGGTATATCCCCAGATGGCAGTTCTTTACAGTTTGTTCCTGCCAGTGCAGAGCATCCTGACGCCTCAGTTCATTCTGATTTCCTTGTTGTGATGAAGAAACTTAGCAAACGGGATGCTGTTACAAAACTTAAGGTAGGTTGAATAGAATTTTTTAAAGTGTGACTAACCCCAAATATGATTTTTG